CTCCCCTCCCAGGAGTTTGGGCGATCGCGCCGCTCGCCGGCTCCGGCAGCGCCGGCTCCTGGGGGCGGCCCCCGGAGGAAGGCGAGGGCTGGAGGTGGGAGACGGGAGCCGGGAGATGGGAGATGGGAGCCGGGAGATGGGAGCCGGGAGATGGGAGATGGGAGCCGGGAGATGGGAGATGGGAGCCGGGAGATGGGAGCCGCCCTGGCCCCCCTCACCGCCCTGCCCCCGGCCCCTCTGTGCCCTCAGCGAGGGCTCCCCGCGGGCAGAAGGGCATCCTCCCCTCCGAGCCCTCCCCTAGGGCTTTATTTCCCTGCACAACATCCCCGTGGCTGCGCTCGGCAATCACTTTAGGCGTGTGGACAGCTCTTCGAGTGTTCGAGGTACACGGCTGAACCTGCAAGGGATGGAGAGCTTGTTCTGTCCCCTGAGAAAACCGAGGTCACCTCCTCTCTTGGGTCTTCCCCTCGCATCCCAACCTGCAGGTTAATCAGGACCGTCTCCAAACACCCCAGCGAGTCTAGCTCAAGATGATGTCCCCAGAGAAAAAAACAAACAACAACAAAACCAAACACTCTGAGGAACCAAAACAACATCCCAAAGTACTTAAAGACCTTCCCCATTCGACCACCACAATGAAAAGTCTTTCCAGACTTCAGAATACTTCAGAATCAGAAGACTTCAGAGTCTGGTTTGTCACAGACCATGCTCTCATTCACACCGGTATAAATTAAGGTGCATCCTTGGTGACGCTATCAGAGCTATAACAAAGATCAATTCAAACAAAATAGGGTTGCAAGTGTAATAAACAGTTATGTCCAAGGCGTTAAACTTCAGAGCAACTTTGGATCTAGGTGTAGAGCCATCACTTAGAGTAATGGGCCACCATCTCACTCTTCCTTAAAGAAATAAAGTAGTGGCTGAAAGTAGATTCTGGGATGGTTTTCAGGTTTTCTAAGTCGTATGGGCAAGATCAATTCTATCACAGTCTTGTGGGAATGTCCTTTATATCCAGCAATTACAAAGCTGTTTTCTAACAGCACTGCTAAATTGGACAACAAGGAATCTGTGTTTCAGAGCCCTGCCTGGTTTATACATGGCATATTTTTGATTTCCTTATAATTTGGACACTCAGTCAACAAAAGCTTGATTTCAAAGTGGCCAAAGCCAGAGAGGGATGTGCTTATTTTCTACTGAAATGGGCCCTTGAGCAAAGATTTGCCACACTTGATGGGGATTAATCCAGAAAGCCAAGAAGACATTCAGGCCCCGTGTAGATACTGGCACAAAGCCAAAATTTAGAAATCCAAAAGGCTATTCATATGTTCATTTATAAGAAGCTGGGGACCTTAGAGACACATTCAATGCTACCAGTGAAGGACAGAGACTTCTCTTGGGTGCTCACCACTCTGGTAGCATTATATCCTTCAGTATTTAGGTTTAAGAGGAAGAGAGGTTATCTGAAAGATAAAGATGTGAATTTCTTTAGGAAACTAAAATTTCACCAGTATTTGAGAGCTGTAGATGGAACTTTAGGCTGAGAACCTCTTGTTGATAAAGTAAATGGAACTTAAATAGTCGGTGATTTTTGTCCTTAGGACTGTATTTTTTGCTTCTTTCTTCTCTAGTATTCCACTTATTTACAAACATTTAGACATTAAAATGACAATGGCATAAGCAAGGCTAAAGATTAAAGATAGCTAAAAGGAAAAAAAAAAAAAAAAGTATAAAATTCTAGTAGCATTTTAGCCTCAGGACAACACTATCAGAATCAAAGAGAGAGAACAATAGCTGAAAGAAGTGAGAAACATTTCTGCAATGAAACCTTCAATAAAGTATCAAGACAATAAAATTTTCTGATCTGGCTGTTGAAGCTGAGGAAAATGCAGCCAGGAGAATTCAGGGATTGCATTCTCTTTAAGTTATGGGGGTCTAGCATTACTCAGCTTTTTCAAAAAGGGTTCAGAGCTTTGGAAGATTCCAATTTGTAAATAGAAACTAATCCTTAAAAAAAAAAATACAGAGCAGAGGGAAAAAAAAGAAGAGGATCTATGAAAACGGAATCACCTTTATTTGTTTCTAGAATCTAAACAATAAAAGCAGCCAGTCTACTAATAAAGCAGCAAAGTTTTAAAAATAGAGACCATGAGATAACTTTTATATCTTCATGGAAAAAGAAATAGGGTAATTAGCAAGTGGTCAGTTAGAGAAAGATACTGATGCTCTATAACCCTCTCCATGAGCTCAGGGGGAAAGGAAGTGTTCAGCAGAACACCTCACAAATTGGAATTTCATTGATTTGGATGAAAAACACAGAAGCATTTGAGAAGAACTTAAAAAACAAAAATCAGAAAAAAAAGGGCTGAAATGGGGAACATTTCTTCTGGAGTGAAACACAGCTTTTGATGAATCAGATACTGGGATTTTGGCGATTTGAACAAATTTATTTTTTTTTTACCCTCTCTTCTTTACATTCCAGATACCTGAAAAAACCCTTCTTGGCACACTAGAAGCTGAATCATGTTCCCATTTACCAAGACAGCCCTGTACAAGGACTCGGTGAAAGGCCTGACCTTTGCATTTCTGGATCTCCTGCAATACAGAGCAGCTCGCTGACCACAGAGTGCTTCTCGCCACATAAAACTTCCCTTCAGTCCCATAAAACTGGCACTTGTGGATCTCTGCCACCTTCTCCCAGAACTCATCAAAGGGCATTACAGGCTATCCTGAGCTGGAAGGGACCCACAAGGATCATCAACTCCTTCCTTACAGCATGGATTTATGACAAGATCATGTTGCATTACAAGCATCTCTCGTTGTTCCTTCGAGGTCTGCTCTGCTTGGGAGACATCCTATTTTTTTTCTTGGTCTATGACAAACTCTGGGCTTAAAGCAGCCTTAAAGACTTTGTTTCTCTCTGAATACAGCTGGCAGGACCCCAATGAAGCAGAGAACTTAGAGCAGAGGGCCCTGACAGAGAGGTGCACATCGTGTTTTGACACAGGGTCCTGTCTCTACTCACCAGATTTACTATAAAAGCTGGGCAGGAATTATTTTCTGATGTGCAGCATGCAGGAGCATGATAAAGTATTTCAAGGACACAGCCTGAGCAGACAAAAATGGTTTAAAGAAAATCCTCTTGCATTTTGAGGGCACCACCTACAAGGACTCCCCATCAAACAAAAACACAGTTGCAAGAACTTCTCAGGTAGTTCATCAACCCCTTGAGGCTTATGTTAGTTAGAGTGCTAGATTTTTACCCTTATTTACTGACCTGATGAGTTAAAATACTGGTGTTTGCTTTAATCAACAATTTAATGAATGTTTCATCCTAACTAAACCAGTATTAATTACCATATACCATCCTAGATTAGCAGAGAAAAATAGAAATCAAGATGTTTCATGGTTTCAAATGGTTGTATAAATGTTCCTGCTGGTAGCTTATGTGGACTTGATTTAAGGTTTATGGTAAATTCTTCCCTTATTCCTGAAAACCCCAAAGCAACATTCTGTCAGATCTACCAACTTTGCCTGGCCTGGGGAAAAAAGCTGTAAATTAGCATTTATTCCTAGTTGCACTATAAACCCAGATTTATATGAAGATTTACAGGCTTCAGCAAGTCTGGATAAGCATGGCATGAAAAGAGGTTTATAAAAAAACTCCATTTTAAGTAGAAGTCATCCTGGTCCATGAAGTTTTTGAGGCAAAGTTATTTTTCAGTGACAAATGCTCTTATGAAAATAAAGTGTGGATCCTTCTTAAATGTATTCTCACCTCAAGTCCTTCCATTTCAATGACAGCAGTGGATAAAACAATAACAAAAACAAGTGCAAAGGGTGGCTAGAATAACGTAAAACAAGTGCAAAGGGTGGCTAGAATAACGTATGTGGGTTGGCACGTACGTGTTCAAGTGCAAATTTATCTTGGATTTCAGTTTGAGAAGGACGGGCCCTGTGACTCCTAAAAGTGTGCCCCCCTAACAAACAAGTTGTCAGGTTTTTTGTGTTTAAATCTGTCTTTTCATAACAAGAATGATTGACACACTTCGGATGTGCAACCTGATCAACTTCCAGCCGCTTTTTAGTCTTTCAGTGCAGGAGAAGCTGTGAACTATTCTGCAAAAGGTCATTTCCTTTTTTAAAGCAGACAGAAATCTGTCTTTGACATTGAATCTTTTCCTCATAAATAAGCACATGAAAGATTTTTGTCTGATGTTTCTTTCCTTTAGCACTGCAATGGGGTGTGGAGAGGCACTGGGCTGTTTTTTTGTGGGTTGTTTTTTTTATTCTGAAGGGAAGGAATAAACTTACCCACAAGGCCAATGAGATTATTTAACATTTAAACTTTCCTTTATCTGTCCCAGGGTATCTGGATGCTACAGGATGCCTGAGAAACAGACTGAGTTCTGTGAACATAGTTCTATATTAAAAATATTCATATATTTACCTTTCTAGTGAGCTATTAAGTATTTGACCAGCCCTGCCTGTTTTCAAAACACTCATAGTTCCCTCTCCAGTCTCAGTGGATATAAGTGGTTGATAAAAATAAATAAATATATATATTTTTTTTAAAAAAAGTAAAAATAAATAAATAATTATAATAAATATAAAAAATAAAAATAAATCACTGTTCTTATTTTGTATTGCATCCCCAGTGCTCCCTTCCAGATGCAACTGCTTCTCCAATTTTGTCTATGATCTAAGCAGGCCAAAGGCACAATCCCACTGGGGAAAGAGGAAGGTTGAGATTTTCTGATTGTCTTTAGCAACTTCTACAGCCATGTAAGTTGAAAAAAGTCTAAAGAAAAAGAAAAAGTTCTTTTTAATTTTGTTTTTCTGCTTAAGATGGGTAGATCTTTCTGGGGGTTATTTCTCAGCAATTCAACTGTACTTTACATTGCAGAACCATCCAGGCTTTTTATTAAAAAAAACCCAAAAGATAAAAATAAAATAAAAAAATAAAAATTTCCAGAAGAAAAAGTGGACTCCAGTCAGCCACAGACTTTTAGCACCTTTCACCTCTGAAATATACTGACTTCCTCTGACCCTCAGAGGCTTTATTGATTCACAGAAATCTGAGTCATGGTTACAGGAAACATTTCTCTCCCCAGAAATTTACAGTAGGAGCTGAACTTCTGCACAGATAACATCCTTTTCTTCCTTAGCATCTGTGCTGAATTTTTTTTCTCTCTCTCCATGGTTTGGGGGTACCATATCCCAATAGAAATAAACCAGTGCCTTTTCACTCCCAGCTCCCAAATGGCATCACTAAACACCATTTTTATTTTAGATATATTTTTATAGTCTCAGAAAACCCCAGCTGATCAATCAGGCAACAAGACCTGACTATAGCAATCATTCACACCGTTTGATTAATTGTGCCAATTACTGGCCACTCAGAGTAAACAATTTCAAAAGCAGCTCTGTGTGCAAAGTGGGCCTGCAGCTACATGAGAATGGGGAAAAAATCGCATGAAATCATAAATGTATTCATTTTTAAAAAAAAAAAACACCATTTCATTCACTAACAATTTACTTCCTAGGGGGTGAATTTCATTCAAAGGAGAGAGAGAAAAGAGAAGATTCAGCAAATATATTATTGGCACAGTCAGGTATTCTGATCACCATGGAAAGCAGGTTGGCAGGGCTTAAGAGAATTTTACCTATTATATGGAAATAGCAAGAAAATCTGTAGATTTACCAGCTAAGGCAAAAATGTTTGCTATTGAACTTGAATCTTTAGCATTTCAAAATCTCAGGGGTCAAAAAGACTGCTAAACACAAAGAACAGAATGATGCATGATATTTTTTTTTTTTCATTCCTCCTTTCCTGTACATTATATGTGGGCTCATTCCAGAGGACTTGAAAGATAGCCAAGAGTAGGAAGGGAAAAAAACCTTTTTGAAATGTAAGTGTTGGAACATCTCTATAAAATTCCCCCTCCGTTTTTACACACCTATTTGCAAGATGTTAATTAAAAATAGCCTGCTTTCCTTTTTCATGATCATCTTTCACAGTCTGCCCAGTTTACATAAATTAGCACACTAATATGTCAAATACATCAATTATGAGCTAACACACTCTCTCACTAATAGGATTTGCATTTTTTACTCCAGCAGACATAGGATGCCTTATTTTTTGGAAAGCAATCTAATATCATCAGGCAGCCAACTGTGTCTTCTAACACGACTTCCACCTCCAAGAATGATCCTTCACAGCCCAGAGAGGAAGAGCTGGGTGTGAAAACATGCCAAGACCATGGTTTGCTCTGCCTGCCCTGATTCCTAGGACAAGCTCTTCAATGAGAATCACAGAATCACAGAACGGCTGGGTTGGAAGAGACCTTCAAGATCATCGAGTCCAACTCATGCCCTAACACCACAATACCTGAAACCTCAACTAAACCATGGCACTGAGTGCCACATCCAGTCTTTTTTTTAAACACATCCAGGGATGGTGACTCCACCACCTCTCCGGGCAGACCATTCCAGCACTTTATCGCTCTTTCCGTAAAAGATCTTTTACTAATATCCAACCTATATTTCCCTTGGTGCAGCTTAAGGCTGTGTCCTCTCGTTCTGTCAGTTGCTGCCTGGTGAAAGGGACCAACCCCACCTGACTGCAGCCTCCTTTCAGGGAGCTGTGGAGCGTGATAAGGTCACCTCTGAGTCTCCTTTTCTCCAGGCTAAACAACCCCAGCTCCCTCAGTCATTCCTCACAGGGTTTGTGTTCCCAGCCCCTCACCAGCCCCGTTGCCTCCTCTGGATGCGCTCAAGCATCTCCACATCCTCCCCAAACTGAGGGGCCAGAACTGGACACAGAACTCAAGGTGTGCCCTCACCAGTGCTAAGCACAGGGGAAGAATGACCTCCCTGCTCCTGCTGGCCCCACATTCCTGATCCAGGCCAGGGGCCATTGGCCTTCTTGGCTTCCAGGACACACTGCTGGCTCCTGTTCAGCTGCTGTCACCAGCACCCCCAGGTCTCTTTCTGCCTGGGCACTGTCCAGCCTCACCATCCCAGCAGAGCTGAGCAAGGCAGCCAGGTGGCTGTGCTGTCAGGGGGAGCTAGCAAAAGCTGAGCCCTAAGATGCTGTCCCCAGTTCCTGTGTCCTAAAGGAAAGCATCTGCTGCCCCAGGTTTACTACAAGGCAGAAAGGATTTTTACAAGTTTCAACTCCCACTGATTCTGAGGAGAACCCAAAGTTTGAGCTGACAGAGGCCAACACGTTGTCGTCTGCCCTGACCCACGTGGTCCTTACAGTGTGGCATTGAATTCTACTGTGGGGAATAGTGTGGGGAAATATTGTACTTCAGAGGCACTTCAGAGCCTCGAGGCTTTCAGTCTCCAAGGTGGGGGTGGCAAAAAAAAATAAAAAAATAAAATCCATCACTGCTAGCAGTCTGCAAAAGAGTGCCCACATTAGCTTAGCCAAGGTTATCAAACCCATGACAAATATGGGGTTCACTTTCTTATGCTTCCAGACAACCCACAAATCTCAAAGTGCCAAATGAACTAAATTGCTATGAAATTAGAGTCATGCAAAACTACATGCAACAATGAAACCCAGAACAATCTTCATTTCCATGGCATTTTGGTCATAATTAAAAATATTCATAGAGCTTTACAAAGCATGAAATTACCTTGGCATTTCCATATCATAGAGTAGAACCTTGGCATTAGCTCGGGGTGAAACTCTGTAGCCCTGGGAGGCTGCACATCACACATCAAACAGGCATCCAGAGCTGTTCAAACGCGTGCCCAGCGCCTCGTAAACGGCTGGAGCGGCCCGGACAAGACAGCTCTGACATTCTCTGTCAGCTCAGGAAAGCTGCACAAAGCTGGAGGCAGATCAATAGCACAGAAAACATCAAAATGACATTATGGGGACTTTGAGAGAGGTAATGTGTTCCCACGCATAATAGCTTCAGCTGCAATAATTAGACGTGCAGCGTTGCTCAGGCTGCGCACGGCAGCAGCCCCTCTGAAGCAGGCTGCAGGCTGACGTGGCCCAAATACATGCAGAGGGCTAAAAACCAGCAAAACCAAAGGCACCCAGCTCCATTAGCTCCCAAACTTTGGGTGTAACCAGAAGCAGCTGATGAAGGGCAGTGTCCGTGAGAGTTGATGTCCCTTGCATTTCTGTCTGGCGAAGGAAGTGGAAATGGAGCTCACCATTAGAAATTTGGGAAGTGCTGTGGCTGCTCCCAGACACTGGCTTACTCTGTCAGAGCACCACATTCCTGTAACAAATGTCTCCTCAAGCCTGTGGATAAGTTTATAGGAGAAAACACCCTTTATTCAGCATAAAAGGCTTCAGAACTTGGTCCACTCCTGGTGAATTCCACTCAGACACTAAAAATAATTCACATCCATCTCAAGAATACTTCAGCTTTGGGATTCACACCCATTGTCAACCCATCCTGATGTAGCCAGCACAAACCACCCCCACTGTCCCAGCCTCCTTAGACACCTGCCCCCAGGAATTTCACTCAGCTCTGCTTCTACCTGGAGGAGCTTTCTGAACTTGGACAGCTCGAAATGAAGATGGCTCCACTACTCCAGTAGTGCACACGATTAGCAGAAAGGCACAGCTTCACATCACCAGGGCACAAATTTAAGAAGCATTGTTGCAAATGTCTGGCCATGAAAGCTCTTGTTAAAAAAGGAAGCAAGCCTTCAGTTTCTGTCCCATCACTGAGTGAAACAACTACGATTGTAGTATCAAGGTGGATTTGAATGCGCTGCCATCAAAGCAATTCTG